CATATTTCCCCCCCCCCCCCCAGAAAAAAAACTGCAGCATTCACACACTTCTTCAAGTCCTACCAGCGCGCCCTTCGTCCTTTCTCTCTCTCTCCCTCTCTTTCAAGCCTTCCCCCTTTCTCCTCTCCCACGCTTCTCTTCCTTCACCCTTTCCTCTCTCCTTCCCATTCCAGCCTTCCCCCTATCTCCTCTCCCACATCCCTCTACCTTCCCCTTTTCCCTCTCCCTCCTTCCATCCTCCTCCATTTAGCTTCTCACACGCCCCTCTTCCCTCCCCTTTCCCCTTATTCTTGAACTGCCTGTGGCCTGTGTCCCTTCCTCTCGCTCCCTCCTACTCCCTGCTTCCTCCTCTTTCTTACTTTTTAATTCCTCCCTATATATGCGTGTGTATGTATGATGTGTGTATGTGTTTCTCTCTTTATATTCCATCTCTGTATGTCAGAATAGTGCTTTTGAGGACACCAAAGCTACAGATAACGATTCAAGGCGGACTTTATTCAATGAGTTATCTTCCAGCAAGCACCCTATTGCCCAGGCCGAGACAACGTTTCTTTCGTTATAGAAAGCGCGAAGGTCGGGAGAAAACCTTCCAATGAACTGAAGAATATTTTGCGTGGATGAACTCGGCGAAAGCGTCGAATTACCTCATTTCGTACATCGAACCACTTAAAAATGAATCGAATTGCAAATTTTGATAAGAAGGGCATGACAGTAACAGCTAGAAATATTGGGAGCACACAAAAAGAAAGAATAGACTGAAAATGGATAAAATTCAAGTAATATAGAAAACGAGCTAAAATGTATATTCTTTTATCTCTGATAATACTTTCATATCTTGTCAGGGAATACAGCACTACACATTGCAGCTTCCCAAGGCCATCTCCATGTCCTGTTTACGCTGGTGAAACTTGGCCGCAACAAACGTGAGGAACGGCCGAGGAGAGACTCCCAAGGAACTGCTGAAAGGAACTTCCACCACTGCAAATTACGACATGGAAATCTTCAAAGGCATCTCGCTGGTAATGGCGCTGGAATCTGCTGATAGAAACTTAATCTATATTTTATTGGATTTTTACGATGCTAGCTTGTGTTTCCATACATGGCAAATGATTTTCGTCTTTTTTTTCGTTATACATCCTAATCAATGTTGAATCAATTCCATGCTCACCAGTATGATCGATTTACAGATAGAAATAATGGAGAAATACCTCGCAGCTGAAAAGGGAAAGGCCAGCCTACGGAGAGAATACATGTCGTTTCAGGTCAGTGAGAGATGGAGCTTCTGTAGTGGATCTGCTGTTTCAGGAAGAAAGACTTGCGTTGTGGAGGGAACTGGTCGAGGGGGAAATGGGAATTACATCAGAGAAAGAGAGTGAATGGGTGAGTGAGTGACAGAGACAGAGATATAGAGAAAGAGAAAGACAGACAGTGAATGGGTGAGTGAGTGAGTGAAGAGACATAGAGATAGAGAGAGAAAGGGAGAGAGAGAGAGAGGAGAAAAGAAGAAGAGAGAAAAGAGAAAGAGAAAGAGGGAGTGGAAGGGAGAGGGAGGGGGGGAGGAGAAAGAAAGGAGAGAGAGTATGTGTGAGAGTGCGTGTGTGTGAGAGAGGAAGTGAGAGCGAGAAAGTTTGTATATGTGCATGTGATCTCAAATATGGTGTTAGTGTGAATGTGTGTGTGTAAGAGAGGGAGAGAGAGAGAGGAAGGAAGGGGTGGAAGAAAGATAGAAACAGAAATAGCCATCTCGTCAAACAGACTCAAGCATTTACGAGTAAACACGCGTGCATACTATTTCTCCTTTGCAGAATGAACACAAAAAGGAACTGAAGAGCATTAAAGAAGACCAGAGAAAGAGAGACGCTGATTCTCAGACAATGAAGAAGGAAATCGGTGCTTTGAAAGACAAGATCAAAGCGATTGAGGTGAGTCGAAGGGGGAATTAATGGAACCTAAGAGAGAGAGAGAGAGGAGGGAGAGAAAGAGAGAAGGGAGGGAAAGAGAGAGAGATAGGAGGGAGGGAGAGAAGAGAGAAGGGAGGGAAGAGAGAGATAGGAGGGAAGGAGAAAGAGAGAAGGGAGGGAAAGAGAGAGAGATAGAAGAGAGGGAGAGAAAGAGAGAAGGGAGGGAAAGAGAGAGAGATAGGAGGGAGGGAGAGAAAGAGAGAAGGGAGGGAGAGAAAGAGAGAAGGGAGGGAGAGAAAGAGAGAGAGAGAGATAGGAGGGAGGGAGAGAAAGAGAGCACTGAACTGGGCTTGTACGAAGTGAATATCGCAATCCGGAAAGGAACAGAGCTACAGGTGGGACAAACGGCCGGCTTTGGCTGCCCAGGAGCGCTAACTTGCACGTCCGGTCAATGTTTGTGCGTATATGTGTATGTGTGTATGCGCTCATTCAAATACAGACACACTAAGCACATGCTCACACGCCGACTGTACATCCACGATTCTCAACAGAGACCTGGAAGGCTTAGGCGATCCATTTCTTTCCAGGAGGAACACAAAGCAGAGCTGCGGAACGTCGCAGAAAATCAACAAGAAAAAGAGGCGGAGATTCTGAGGATGCAGAATGAAATAGTCGGTTTGAAGGAAACAGTTGCAAGTAGAGACGAGAAGATCAAGTCACTTGAGGTGAGATAAAGAAAGGAAGATTGAGATTTGAGATAGGAATGAGAGGGAATACTAATAATAATATGAAAGAGAGACTGAGAAAGAGCAATACAGACAAGGAGAAGCAGGACGCGAATCGAAAGCAAAATCACGCACCGGAATATGATCCAAGCGTGCAATTGTGAATCGAGGAGTAAGCAGGAAACTCGTTAGTGTGTGTGATTAGAAATGATAGATCGTAGTCCGACCAGCAGAGAGACGAACACGAGACAAGGATTAAACTGGTAACCGACCAACTGCCGTGCATGCGGGGATCCGCAAACGGGCGGTGTGGCAGCGTGGGGCGCGAGCGGCGTTCGGACGCCAGGGACTCCGAGGTCAGAGGCAGAGGCTGCCAGATGGTAGAGAATTGAGATTTAGAATTTGACAGATTGAGACATGGTATAGAATTGAGATTTAGAACTAGATTTAGTCCTAGATTTACATTAGGATAGAATGGTATAGATTGAGCTTTAGAATTAGATTTAGATAGAGATGGTATAGAATTAAGATTTCAGAAGGAATTCGAAAGCTCCGAGGATTGGGCAAAGACACGGCGCCATCACAAACAGGGCTCACTCCATTGAAAGAAAACGGAAATGAGACGGAAATAGGGTGATGCACACACACACATACACGCACACACGCACGCACACATACACACATATATATGAAACGTGTGTGTGTGTATATATATATATATATATATATATATATATATATATATATATATATATATATATATATATATATATTTATATACATATACATATATATATATACATATACATATATATATATATATATATAATATATATATATATATATATATATATATATATATATATATATATATATATATATATATATATATATATATATATATATATATATGTATATATATATATATATATATATATATATATATATATATATATATATATATATATTTGCGTATATGTACACACACACATCTACATACTGGCGAGCGCGGCTGCTTGACTGTCGGCCATCTTGCTCACTCAGGCGCCGCCCTTGAGACACCTCGCCAACGCCCTTTGCGCTTGCGTCTGCTAAGGAGCGTCCTGAAGAGCATTCCTTAAAGTCGGATGTGATGTTGGGATGTCCTGAGGGGTTAGGGGGTCCTAGCGACGCTGGGAATGTTCTTAGGTGCCGGCCCAGGACACTGATCGGGGTCCGTTCCAGGAAAGGCGTCAGGAGGAACGGCGAGGAAGGGAGACCCAGGCAGCCGGCGAGAACAAAGAACAGGTCGTTTCGGCTTCCGTTCTGCATGACACGATAAAGTTATTACAGGGGTTCATCTGATTATCCTTCAAAACACAGGTGAGATCGTACGTACATGCATGCTTTCTCTCTCTTTGTCTCTGTCTCTTCCGTTTCCACTTCCTATTCCTCTCCCTCACCCTCTCTCTTTTACTCTTCTCCTTCCTCCCTTCCTCTCTTCTTCCTCTTCCTTTTCCTATCTCTCTCTCTCTCTCCCTTGTACACACACACTGCACGTATTATAAACCATTAATGGAAATGATAACCGCTATGTATTTTCGTTCTAACTGTACATGCTGAGATTCCCATTTCAACTGCACATACAGTTTCTTGCTCATTAGACTCATATATTCGTAATGTTGAACTTCGAAATGCGTCGATGAGAACGTCCACCCTATGCCGAAGCCTTTGCTGAATTCCAGTGACGTCTACAGATTCATTACAGATTACATAACGTCATAGATCTTAAAGAACACATCCTGAATCTCCCTTTCAAGGAACAAAGTACGAAGGAACTGCTGAGTCTCAGAAACGCGCAGCACCTGAAGGAGGCCGAGGCGGCGAGCCAACTCAGGGAAGCCCAGGAGGCGCTCAAGTCCCGAGACAAGAGGGTCAAGACACTGAAGGTGAGGAGGAGGTCGATCTTGAGTGGCAGGGAGAAGGAAACGATATGTAACCATATATGTATGTGTGTGTCTTTGTGTGTGTGTGTGTGTGTGCATGTACAGACGCGATGATGGTTTTGATGGTGAATAATGACAAGTTATTAGAATTCTAAAATAATAACAATAAAAAGAAATAAAATGGAGATAACACCAATAAATACAGTGATTTTGATAATGGAATAACGAGGAGGACGATCATAATTAGAGCTTCAACAACAGCAAAACTAACCGTCTGCCTTGACAGGAAATCTTACTCATCCTCCATCCAGTCTCAGGAAAAGAAGAAGTGGCAACTCAACCTTGGCCTTGACTCAGACATAATAAAGTGGCGTTGAAGGAACGGAATTTCATTTAAAGCAGTTAGGAAAAATATTGCATGTGTTTTGAATGCAAAGTATATGTAAACA